TGTGCAAAACCCCTTTTCCCCATAGACGGTCAAGTTGAAAGCCACCCTTGTATGTATCACCATTCACTTTACGGTGCAAACCTTCACCATGACGAGAAAACCCGACACATTCACCCACATAGCTGCTACCGTCTGAGTAAAGAAATTCTCCCATTCCCCTTGGTGCATCATTCTCAAACTTACCCTTGTATGAGACAATATGAGGTTCGCCCATCCGTGGTGTGTACCCAGGCGTGCTAGACGCTCGTCCCAATATCAATTCCCCACGGCCATTTCGCTTATCATGAAGCCACGATCCCTTATAAATGTTGTCATTCACATATTGACATCTTCCATCCGCACCACTTCGCTCCCCCTCCACAAAAGGGCCAACATACTCCACAAAATCATCGACGCCCTCTGCCCCATAGAGTGTCCCGTTACCGTGCATCGTGTCTCCCAGCCAATCCCCCTCATATTTCCTACCGTTCGAAAAGGTACAAACTCCATTTCCGCTTCGCTCCCCATTCACGAAGTCACCTTCATATATATAACCCATCACACCGGGAACGGTGTACTTGCCCTTTCCATGCGGTTTACCCAGCAACTGCGTTCCCACATACTTGGCCCCGCCCGTATTCTCAAAAAATCCACACTTCCCATCGTTGATGTTTCCCTCAATGGCCTCCTCGTCGTATTGGTCGCCGTTAGGAAAGCCCCGCCCAAAATTGTGCCGTGCGCCTGGCATCAGGAAAGGAAAAAGGAAAAAGATCACGGAAATGCTTCACCACGCAGGTCTGAAAACGACAATGCAGAATATGGGCCTTGCGATTGCCGTGTATTCACTACCCGCACCCATCAATGAATAGATCAAAAAAAAAAAAAAAAAAAAAAAAAAAAAAAGGAAAAAGAAAAAAAAAGAGGCAAAAGTAAACAGAAGCACACACACATTACAAAATAATAATAACAATAATAACATCAGTTATCACAAAAACGTAATCCCAGCAGCATCACCAACGAAGACGTGTCTCAGCGTGCGGAATCATCCGTGAATTCAAAAAAGGAGTATCCCACTAAATTCCAAAAACCAATAAGGCCCATCACAAACCTACAAACACGCACCTGAGACCAAAACAATAAATATAAAAACACACAGATAAATCAAAAATAACATAATCTGCAAAGAAATCAAAAAGAAAAAAAAATATCCATATATATATATATATATATATATATATATATATATATATATATCATAGGCTTTCAGTGACGATTAGGTCCCATGCCCGTTGTAACAAAAGAGGAGGGACAGAGAATTGTAGTGCAAAACGCAAGGCGTGAGAAGTCATCCCCTTCTGTTGGATGGTGTCCATGCTGCTCAGAGCTTGAACGGGGGCCACACGGTACGAGTAAACAAGTTGGCTGCCGCCGATAAATTCCTCATATACATCTTCGCCCCCTTCTCCCCCTGTACGAGCAGTCGGTACAAGCGTTGTCTGCATCTCAAGCACCATGATTTCTTCCCGAGGTATGAGCTGTGGCTGAAGAACCTCCACATAGTGTGTTGCCAAAAGCACAATAGGACGCCGATCACCAAACGAAATAAAGGACCGTATGGAAACCGCTAGCAACGCAGCACCATCCAGGGAAAGTGTTCCCTTTCCAAACTCATCCAACACCAGCAATGAACGTCCAGATCCGGCACCTCCTTCCTTGTTACGAGTGCTGCACCTCTGTAACATGCGACTCATTGACACCAACTCATTCCCAAAACTTGAATGTAACTCCTTCGTGGTGGAGGCCAGGGTTCTGTCACGGGAACTGTACGAAACAGCATGGAGAGACATCAAAGTGTCAAAGAGACCAATTGTGGCATGGGTACAGGGGACATAACACCCAATATGTGCCAGGAAAACAGCGTGTGCGACGGCCGTAATAAGGATCGACTTTCCGCTCCCATTCGCCCCTGTCAACAAACAAACTCGTTGATTGCTAGTTCGAATATTTATTGAGTACGGCACTACCTGGTGCGCCGCTGTGCGTGCAAAAATAGGGTGGAACCCACGTTCAATAACAAGCACACCAGGCTCCTTTACGATTTCGGGACGGCTCCATTGACCCTCCAGTGCAGCAAGGGCAAAACCCATAAGACAATCAAGTTCCGCGCAAAGATGTAGGGGAATTAGTGCCGGCGAAAGTACGATCAAACGTTTATCCAACTCACGTTGAATCTCTCCCTCCCTCACCAAAATGGCTGAACGCAAATCTCCAATTTCCTCATCCATTCGACGGGTCAAAGGTGTTTTAAAGAAAGGACCCTCCTCAGTTTGAAAAAGCAACTCCCAACCGGGAATATCTTCCCGTCCTACTGGTAACGAGAAACGAGGAAGAGTTATGACATACCCCCAACACGGAGCGAATACACACACCACACTACAGAGACCCCAAAGTGAGGGCAGGCAACGGGCCTCTTGCTGTGCAACATTCGCCAAAACCTCATCGAGACGAGTGAAGTGTGCACAAAGTTCATCCAATTTAGCGTCAAACCCTGGACGGATATGCACATAAGTTTTGCTCAACGCTGCCCCGGGATCTCGCGAAAAAGAAACACCCTCATCGATGAGGCGGCTTATTTCCTCCAATTGATTGGTTTGGCAGCTTGCCACAATACGCAGAAACATCGGTAATAAGTGTGCTCGCGGTGTGAGAAGCGAAGCAATGCGCAAAAACCCTCTCACAGCCCGTAAGAGAGATTCGTAGTCGTTTGTTGTGTGCTTTGCCGCTCGAATCTTTGTGAAGATACTATTCGTGATCCGCAAGTGACGCAGTGCTCGACGAAGCTGCATCATGAGATCATAATTCTCCTGCATTGTGAAGAACGAGACAACATCGTAGCGTCGCCGTAATTCTGATTCGTCTCGCACCGGCAGCAAAAACCACTGCCGGAGAAGCGCCCGTCCAAGCACACTGCACGTACGATCCACAACACTTAGTAGTGAGAGACCCTCCTTCGCACGCCCAATTCCCTGGTAATCCATCGGATGCGGTTCCGTGCGAAGAAGCTGAAGCCCAGACAGCGTTTCTTGCTCAATATACAACAGTCCCAAGGGAGGCACCTCAGCAACGTCAGCGATGGGCAATTCAGACCTTAGCAGGTACGGTAACAGCGCTGAAAGCGCCATTAACATCACAAGATGATGTGGACAGATACGGGAGTGCCATTCCAA